CTTCTTCCTCGCTCCCTGCACCATGAGGGAAGAGGCGCCACCGTCGCCGCCGTGAGCTGCTCGGCCGCTTCCTCACCGTCCTCCAGACGAGGCGTACCCCTCGCTGCCGCCCGTCCTACCCCGGGGGAAGCTATGAGCCATGAAGCCGCCTGGCAGAACTTCCCTCCGGCGGCAGAAGCAGCAGCAGCAGCAGCCTTTCTCCGGCCGCCGCCGCTTCCTCCTCCATCCCAGCACCACCGCCTCTCGAGCTCTGCTGCCACCGCCGCTGCCTTGCGGCTGCCCAGCTCCATCCCCCCCCTCTTTCTGGCGCTTCTGCTTTTCTGCTCAGGGTCCCCGAGGATCTGCGGAGCCGCGGCAAAAGTGTAAAAGAGCCGCATGCGGCTCCGGAGCCGCGGGTTGCCGACCCCTGCCCTAGAGCTGTGTGTTATGGGCATACTGGTGGCCCCTTGCTCCAAAACTCCTCAGGACCGCACCCCATGACTTCATATAGATTTTAAATAGCATATAAATCCTATATAGCGCTGGGGAGAGAATAGTAGCTTGCAGCACCCCATAGCACAAATGCCGGGGTGGGGGTGAGGAGCAGTCAGCGAGCGCTACTTTCTGGACATGACATTGAAGATATGAACAGAACCACTGTAATATGGTGCCTCTGACAGCCATCTCACTAAGTCAGTTCAGGAGGATACCATGACTGACGGCATCAAAATTTAAAAAAGGGCAACCCAAATGATCACATGTCAGGGAATAATCTAAGGACGAGGACTGGGGAATGCATTCTATGGCAGACCAGTTTCCTCTCCGATGGAGAGATGGAGGGGGAAAGTCAGCCCCCCACCTTGTTCAGAAGCAGAGAGAGAGACAGAAGCTGAACGGCTGACGGAGGAGTAGCCCAGGTACGAGATAATGACAAGGGAACCCGAAGGGAGGGGGCAGCTAGTTGAGATGTCACTTGAGAGTGTGGGGAACCCCCCTCACCACAGACTCGGAGGTCTGAACATATCCGAGAGCAAAGAAGTCAGAGGGAGGGAGGAACTTCCCATTGGCACCTAAAATGCTACGGAAGTCGGAAGGAGGATTTAGAGCAGCCAACTGCCCTCCTTGCAGAGAGCTGTGTATTTTTGCTTGCAACATGATCCTGTAATAAAAGGACTATAAATAGATCAACTGCTTGTTAATTCTAATCTGCGATGTTGCCAAAGGGAGAGGAGAACTCTCCACTCCTGACACAACATCCCCTTTCCCCTTTCCTTTACTTCTCATGAAAACTCAAGGGATTTGTCCAAAGTTCTCCTTTGGGTCCATTAAAATGGACCCCATTTCTGAGAGGAACGTGAGGTGACATCCTGCTTCTGATTCAGTCAATGAATCAGTCAACGAAAAAATAATGCTCTCCACCTGATTCAAGGCTTCTCCGGAGAACCTGCTGATTCAGCATTCATCCTGATTTACTTGATTAGGTGGTGTGCTATGATAATAATAATAATAATAATAACAATATTTATTTATACCCTGCCCTCCCCAGCCAAGGCCGGGCTCAGGGCAGCTAACAAGCAATAATATAAACAAGTTGAATGAATACAACTTAAAAACAAGATTAAAATACAACATTAAAACATTAAAATGCAGCCTCATCACAGCAGGAGAAAGGAAAAAGAAAGAGGGGGAGGGAATCAAATTGACTCCAAGCCAAAAGCCAGGCGGAGCAACTCTGTCTTACAGGCCCTGCGGAAAGAAATCAGATCCTGCAGGGCCCTGGTCTCATGAGGCAGAGCGTTCCACCAGGCAGGAGCCAGTGTTGAAAAAGCCCTGGCTCTGGTTGAGGCTAATCTAACTTCCTTAGGGACCGGGACCTCTAGGGTGTTGCTATTTATGGACCTTAAGGTCCTCCGTGGGCCATACAGAGGCGGTCCTGTAGGTACGAGGGTCCTAGGCCGTGAAGGGCTTTAAAGGTCAAAAGCAGCACCTTAAATCCGACCCTGTACTCCACCTGGAGCCAGTGCAGCTGGAAAAGCACTGGGTGAATATGCTCCCATGGCAGAGACCCCGTGAAGAGCCTCACTGCAGCATTCTGCAGCCGCTGGAGTTTCTGGAACAGCTTCAAGGGCAGCCCCGCGTAGAGCGAATTACAGTAGTCAAGCTTGGAGGTGGCCGTCGCATGGATCACTGTGGCCAGGTCGGGGCGGGAAAGGTAAGGGACCAACTGCTTGAATCCCTCCTGCTAAATATTGACTGTCTGGAGGCACACTCTGATTTCATAGGTTTCAGTTGCCCCCATATGCCAGGACCATGAACTTAGGTGTTTCTCAGTTGAAGGTGCAGAAGCAGCCGATGCTGAAGTCCTGACTGAAAATGAGAATGCTGCAACTGAGAATGTTATGATTGTGCAAAGTGGCATTTAAAAATCCAAACCTACAAGGGGGTAAATAATGCAGCTGGCTGTAAACACAGCTGAAACGCAATCTCATGAAATGTTCATGACGGTGAAAGTTGTGGTCAGTTTCACTATGGTGTCAGTCCACCTTCAGTGAGGCTGATGGGCCTTTCCTCTCTCCTACAGGCCACTAATGGAAGGTATTTAAGCATCTCAGGGTGGACTCGTTTTATTTTCTGTGCTGGAAACAGCTGAGAGTTTAGATGCAGAAAGAATTAGAAACGTTTTCATTCAATGTAGGGCACTTTTTCATTCCAGTGGCTATCGTGGGAAATTCTGGAATGTCCTGTCCTTCCTGGCTGCCATTCGTGAAATAAATCAGGACCCCAGGCTCTTACCCAATGTCACCCTCAGCTATGTCATCTATGACCATTATTCTAATGCAAGGATGACTTCTGATGCCCTGCTAGACCTGCTCTCTACTGGGCACACAGACATTCCAAACTATGACTGTCAGAAGAGGAATAACCTGTTGGCTGTTCTTGAAGATGCAGAAGCTGATATTTCTAGACATATGTCACCTGTGTCAAGCATCTACAAAATCCCACAGGTATGGCTGCTTTGGTGTTAAGACGGAATTGTGCCTCTGCCATGGGCTTTTCATTCTTTCCTTTTTGGACTCTCCCAAAGGTGGGGGTGGGATGGAACCTGGAAGCAGGAGCACTCAACACTGGTGTCAGATGCCCTATGCCACCCCACCACTGCTTTAAAAAACCATGTTGCTTGTTTACAATGCATTCAAAACACAGTTTTTTGAGTAATGTAGCTGAGTCCCTAGTCTAATATTCTGGGATGTGATTCAGTCCCACAAAATATTGAGAGTCTGGAGGCATTCTGGAAGACCTCCTCCCGTTCTACACGGCCAGCATTTTGTCTTGTTCTTTGTGTGCATGTGTTGGGGACTGTAGTTGGTCAACTGTCTGAGATTTGTCCTGGAACCACAGCAAAGCACTCACCTCTCCCTTTGTGTCCTGGGCAAGTTATGGATACACTGTTCCGACTCTTCATGATAAAACCCAGTTCCCCTTTTTCTACCAGATGGCCCCAAATGTAGATGCCCAGAATCTGGGGATTGTCCAACTGCTCCTGAATTTCAGATGGATGTGGATTCCCATATTGCATGGGAAAGTGCTTAAAACAATAACAATAGCAATAGTTTATTTATACCCCATCCATCTGGCTGGGTTTCTCCAACCACTCTGGGTGGCTTCCAGCGAAATATTAAAATACAATAATTCATCACATATTAAAAGCTTCCCTAAACAGGGCTCCCTTGAGATGTCTTCTCAAAGTCAGACAGTTGTTTATTTCTTTGACATCTGGTAGGAGGGCGTTCCACAGGGCGGGTGCCACTACCGAGAAGGCCCTGTAATTTCACTTCTCACAGTGAGGGAGCCAGCAGAAGACCCTGGGAGTTGGACCTCAGTGTGCAGACAGGAGGATGGGGGTGGAGACACTCCTTTAGATATACTGGGCCGAGGCTGTTAAGGGCTTTAAAGGTGAGCACCAACAATTTGAATTCTGTCCAGAAACGTACTGGGAGCCAATGTAGGTCTTTCAAGACCGGTGTTATGTGCTCTCTTCAAAGATAACCCCATATAGAATGTGTTGCAGTAGTCCAAGCGAGTCCTCAACACCAGCTCGCCCCCTGTCACCCAAGAACAGCACTTGTCTTGTCAGGATTCAACCTTAATCAGTTACCTGCCATCTATCTCCAACGGCCTTCACACAGGACCTTCAGCACTTTCACTGGTTCTGATTTAAAAGAGAGTTAGAGCTGGGTATCATGTGCATACTGATGAACACCCAGCCCAAACCACCAGATGATCTTTCCCAGCGGCTGCATGTAGATGTTGAAAAGCATGGGGGAGAGGAGAGAAGCCTGAGGCACCCCACAAGTGAGAGCCCAGGGGTCTGAACACACATCCCCCCCCCACTTTCTGAACACGGCACAGGAGGAAGGAGTGGAACCACTGTATAACCTTCAGCTCCCAGCTCCGCTAGACGGTGCAGAAGGATGTCGTGGTTGATGGTATCAAAGGCCACTGAGAGCTCCAGCAGAACCAGAAACAACTTTCACCTTAGTTCTTAGCACGCCAGAGATCATCGACCAGCACAACCAAGGCAGTTTCAGTCCCAATATGAGGCCTGATTCCCGATTGGAAGGGATCCAAATGGTCCCCATCCTCCAGGCATGCCTGGAGTTCTTCAGCAACCACCTGCTCAATCACATGAATTTCTTCAAGGGAAGCTAGACGCCTCTTGGAAGAGAAGCTGTTTCCACATTTCTAGACACTTCATGCCCTGTACGGTGGTACCTCAGGTTACAGACGCTTCAGGTTACAGACTCCACTAACCCAGAAATAATACCTCGGGTTAAGAACTTTGCTTTAGGGTAAGAAAAGAAATCATGAGGCAGCAACGTGGCAGCAGCGGGAGGCCCCATTAGCTAAAGTGGTGCTTCAGCTTAAGAACAGTTTCAAGTTAAGAATGGACCTCCAGAATGAATTAAGTTCGTAACCTGAGGTGCCACTGTATGAGTTCTTTGATGGTGGATGAGACCTGCCCTCCTTCTGAAGTTCTTTCCACATTCAAAGCACTGATAAGGTTTCTCCCCTGTATGGATTCTTTGATGGGATGTGAGATGGGTGCTCTGACTGAAACTCTTCCCACATTCCAAGCACTGATAGGGTTTCTCACCAGTATGAATTCTTTGATGCAAAGTGAGTTTGTCCTTCTGACTGAAGTTCTTCTCACATTCCGAGCACTGATAGGGTTTCTCCCCTGTATGAATTCTGTGATGGGAAGTGAGATGGGTGCTCTGACTGAAGCTCTCTCCACATTCAAAGCACCGAAAGGGTTTCTCCCCTGTATGAATTCTTTGGTGGGAAGTGAGATAGGTGCTCTGACTGAAGCTCTTTCCACATTCCAAGCACTGATAGGGTTTCTCTCCAGTATGAATTCTTTGATGAGAAGTGAGACTGTCCTTCCGACTGAAGCTCTTCCCACATTCTGAGCACTGATAGGGTTTCTCCCCTGTATGAATTCTTTGATGGGAAGTGAGATGGGCGCTCTGACTGAAGCTCTTCCCACATTCCAAGCACTGATAGGGTTTCTCCCCTGTATGAATTCTTTGATGGGAAGTGAGATGGGTGCTCTGACTGAAGCTCTTCCCACATTCCAAGCACTGATGGGGTTTCTCTCCAGTATGAATTCTTTGATGCAAAGTGAGTTTGTCCTTCCAACTGAAGCTCTTCCTATATTCCAAGCACTGATAGGGTTTCTCCTCTGTATGAATTCTTTGATGGGAAGTGAGACTGTAACTGTGACTGAAGCTCTCTCCACATTCAAAGCACTGAAAGGGTTTCTCCCCTGTATGAATTCTTTGGTGGGAAGTGAGACTGTCCTTCCGACTGAAGCTCTTTCCACATTCAAAGCACTGATAGGGTTTCTCTCCTGTATGAATTCTTTGGTGGGAAGTGAGACTGTAACTGTGACTGAAGCTCTTTCCACATTCAAAGCACTGATAGGGTTTCTCTCCTGTATGTATTCTTTTGTGGGAAGTGAGATACCCACTCTGACGAAACCTCTTTCCACATTCCAAGCACTGATAGGGTTTCTCTCCAGTATGAATTCTTTGATGCAAAGTAAGACTGCCCTTCCGACTGAAGCTCTTCCCACATTCTGAGCACTGATAGCCTTTCTTCCCGCTTTGAGTTCTTTGGTGGGAATGGGAACTCTGACTGGAGCTCTCTCCATACTCCCAATTTTGATTTGGCTTCTCCACTGTGTGGATTTTGTCATGGTCTCCCCCATTCTTCATTTCCAATTCATCACCACCTACAACAAAGACAGAAACTAATTAGATCCTCAGGAAGAAACGGAGCCCCCAATTATTGAACAATGCTAATGAAAATTTCTCAAAGAGGAAGAACAGAAGATGTGAGGTCTTTCTACAGCATTTGTCGACCTCTTTTCTAGGACGGATTTTTGTTGCCACAATCATGAAATCCACTCTAACTCTAACATTGGTCTTCTCTTTAAAATACGGGCAGAGGCTAAAACAGAAACCCAAACCAGACAGAAATTACCTCAACTTCCCTAACAACTCTGTGTGTGAATGTTGCCTCCAAGGTGCTATGGAAAGGGTGACTGTCACTCCAGAAGGCCGTTTTTTCAGTTAGGTCTGGTCTCAACTGTCGAGTGAGAGAGAGGTTTTCTGTGAGAGCACCTGCTGCCTGTTTTATGCTGCTATGTGCCTCAGAAAAATTCTGTAAAGTCTCATATAGATAGAAGCACTTGTAATTCCCTCTTCATACCTAATGTAGCGGCATTATTTGATGTTGAATTATTTTGGATTATTATTATTTATATTATAATTATTATTGTCTTGAATAAAAAATGGAATAAATGTAGAAATAATCAAAATCAATACATAATAGATATAGATATATTAGTTATAAGCACATGCAAACGTGTTTTAGTATATCAAGTAATGTAATGTGTTCTGTATAAACTCTAAACAGAGAATCTTGTGGTGTCTTTTCTAGAATAAAAAAAGCTATGTTTTTCAAGGGTCAAACAACCCAGGGCAACCTCCACACATATAAATACCACAGAAAATGGGTTTGGGGCCCACAAAATCCAGAAAACCATGAATAATCCAGAAAGACAGGTGCAGAGTTGTAAAGTGACACGTTTTACCTCAGAAACTGACATTAACATTTTGACCTCTTTGCCAGTGTACTCTTAATTATCCTCTCAGAAACATTTTTTAAAGGCAGATTGAAAAGTAGAAAGAAATTTTTAGGATGCACATAGGAAGTTTTACACAGTGGAATAGGAGAATGAGAACAGTGTTATACAGATTTGAAATGATACAATGTATTGAGGCAGAAGTCTTACTGCCAGAGAAATTCTTCACAATTTAGGGAAAGATTATAAATTTAGAAGATTTCATCGCAGTTTTATAAGAAACTTTTTGGTCTAAGACATGAAGAAAAGAAACATTGCCAGAGTCATGTGACAGAATTGTAACTATCATTGAAAAGTTAAAGCTGGCAGAATATTCTATGTCTGAAGAACAGAAAGGGAGCTATATTGTAGGATCTCCTGGGGGGGGATGTATGTATGGAATTTCAAAACTGATCTTATGATCCAACGGGGAGCTTTACCAAGAGCGTCCAGGATCCCACGATTCTCCTCCTTGACTTCCTCATGCAGAGTTCGTTGCTTCTACTGCTGTGTGATGGAGCAGTAAGTTTTTTGACATTGGTAGGGCATTCAGGCCACGGCACTGGTATTAGACATTTTGAGCTGCCAATACATTGTGGTGGCCGGGGAGCTGTGATGTATTCCTAGCTCAAATTCCCTGCAGATGGCAAAGGCGCAGGCAGGCAGGTGGTGGAGCCCAGAAAGGTGCTCACCTTCTCAATCTCCGCCTGCCTGTCTGCCTCCGCCCACCCCCAGGGTGAGCAAGCCCCAATACTCTCTGGCTCCATCCCTCCATGTCCCCATCTCCCCTCCCCTGGAACTCACCAGATCTCTCTGAGAGCCCTAGAGAGGAACGCTCAGAGGTTGTGAGGAGGGATGCAGGAGACAACCTGACCAGGTCAACCGTCCATCTTCCCCCTTCCATCCCCGCTAGCTTTGCAGGATCCATCTCTTTCATCCTTCCTGAAGAGTCAAGGAGCCAAAACAAGCTGCAGGGTCCTGGGAGAGAGGAAGAAGCAAAGGGAGCCTCAAAGGCCCTGCAGGGAAGAAGAAGAGAAGAAGATGAAGCGTTTGGATTTGATATCCCGCTTTATCACTACATAAAGGAGTCTCAAAGCTGCTAACATTCTCCTTTCCCTTCCTCCCCCACAACAAACACTCTGTGAGGTGAGTGGGGCTGAGATACTCAGAGATGTGTGACTAGCCCAAGGTCACCTAGCAGCTGCATGTGGAGGAGCGGAGATGCGAACCCGGTTCACCAGATTACGAGTCTACCGCTTTTAACCACTGCGCCACACTGGCTCTCACTGGATTCTCCTGCCCCTGGAAAAGCACAAATGGGGCAGCCCCTTCCCAACAGAAACCCCATTTATAAACATTTCCAGTGGTTCCAATTTCCTCTGTTTACTCCTCTCCCCTCTTCGTAAGACCGGCATGGTCTGCACAGTAGAGACCTGAGAATAGATCCCATTGAACTCAGTGGGGCTTATGGAAAGAACTTGGGGCAAAAACCAGTCACCATCTTGTCCCCAAACCTGAAGACTGCAACACCAGGCATGCTTATCTATGGTATCATAAGGCAAAAGTTCATAAAAGTTTTCATAGTCATAAAGAGCTGTTAACTGAAACTGACAACCAATTAAAATTAAAGGACTTTGAAGAAGTAAGAGAAAATGTAATAGACTGGTTACACTATTTACAACTAAATGAAACTTTTAAAAATCATGAAAAGAAAGGATTTAGTTATCAAATGTCAAGATTTCAGAGAGAAATACTAGAAGGTAGTATAAAACAGCTGTCAAAAATGAACGATCTGCTTTTGGAATGGGACACCAAAGAGGACCAGGTCAAATGCGTTATGATAAAATGGGCGAAGGATGTGGGACATAATAAATTAATGACGGACTGGCTTTGGAAGTTAGATTTGGAAGTTAGGCCACCGAGACCACATAACACCGGTCTTGAAAGAACTACACTGGCTCGCAGTACGTTTCCAAGCACAATTCAAAGTGTCGATGCTGACTTTTAAAGCCATAAACGGCCTCGGCCCAGTATATCTGAAGGAGCGTCTCCACCCCCATCGTTCTGCCCAGACACTGAGGTCCAGTGTCCTTCTGGCAGTTCCCTCCCTGTGAGAAGCCAGGTTACAGGGAACCAGGCATAGGGCCTTCTCGGTAGTGGCTCCTGCCCTGTGGAATGCTCTCCCACCAGATGTCAAAGAGAGAAACAACTACCAGACTCTTAGAAGACATCTGAAGGCAGCCCTGTTTAGGGAAGCTTTTAATGTTTAATAGATTATTGCATTTTAATATTCTGTTGGAAGCCACCCAGAGTGGATGGGGAAACCCAGCCAGATGGGCGGGGTATAAATAATAAATTATTATTATTATTATTATTATTATTATTATTATTATTATTATTGGTTTTAAATTTTCTGGTGTTTTGATGGTATTTGTCCCCGGTTAAATTAGCAAAAATGTACTTCTCACTCGCTGGATCAACACCTTGTTGTGGTGAGTGGGCTTGCACGTTCCTATGAACCTGGTGAGCGAAGCCATCGGGAATCTTGTAATCGCAACAGGATCGCCCTAGTACTTTACTAATAATAGTGAAAGTGATGCAGAGGGTGACTCTTCTGAATATTCCTTGTATACCAGTAGTATACAAGGAATCGTTACAACCCCAAGTAGCTGATTCCCCAAAGCATCTGCCCTGCAAGCAAAAGAAACCTCTGACAAGCACTTGAAGAAGCCCAACCTGGAAATAGAGCCCCATGTGCTTCCCCATCTCAGAAGTCCCACCTGGCCCTGAGGGAACCGGATTCGCAGGAGAAACAGTTCCCCTCTCCTCTCCTCGGACAAGTGATAGGAAGTCTCCCCTGCTGAAGAGATGGCAGCCCTGCTTGCCTGGAATTCACATATTGCTGACCACGCTGCACGGATTCTCCCAGTCTCCTCGCTAGAACAGAGGAGCAGGAACATGGTGGCACAGCACCTTCTCCCTCGTCACAGAAGGAGACGCAGTTACAACCATCTCAAACCAATGCGAAGCTCTTGCTCCTGCAAAAATTACCCATAATGCAACTGCATGACAATCAAGTGACCTAGCTTTTATCCTGGAATGCGGCCGGGTGGTCTGCATCCAGCAGAAATCCTTGTTTTAAAGACTTTCATTCCCACCATTGCATCATAATGATCCTGAAAACATGGATAGCGGATGAGCTGTTACTCAATGGATTTCATTCATTCTCAACTGGGGCAGATCTAGGGGTAAAGCGTGGAAGAGCGAAAGGGGGCCTGGGGGTCTTAGTCTCCACTACCCTACGTGCCATTTCAAGCCCTCTAGTGGGGTGCCACAGGGTTCTGTCTTGGGCCCGGTCTTATTCAACATCTTTATCAACGACTTGGATGATGGACTCAAGGGCATCCTGATCAAATTTGCAGATGACACCAAACTGGGAGGGGTGGCTAACACCCCAGAGGACAGGATCACACTTCAAAACGACCTTGACAGATTAGAGAACTGGGCCAAAACAAACAAGATGAATTTTAACAGGGAGAAATGTAAAGTATTGCACTTGGGCAAAAAAAATGAGAGGCACAAATACAAGATGGGTGACACCTGGCTTGAGAGCAGTACATGTGAAAAGGATCTAGGAGTCTTGGTTGACCACAAACTTGACATGAGCCAACAGTGTGACGCGGCAGCTAAAAAAGCCAATGCAATTCTGGGCTGCATCAATAGGAGTATAGCATCTAGATCAAGGGAAGCAATAGTGCCACTGTATTCTGCTCTGGTCAGACCTCACCTGGAGTACTGTGTCCAGTTCTGGGCACCACAGTTCAAGAAGGACACTGACAAACTGGAACGTGTCCAGAGGAGGGCAACCAAAATGGTCAAAGGCCTGGAGACGATGCCTTATGAGGAACGGCTAAGGGAGCTGGGCATGTTTAGCCTGGAGAAGAGGAGGTTAAGGGGTGATATGATAGC